CAAATTCCCGAATTTTCAGATCCTGATGGGTTTCTATCCCAAATTCCCAAATTTTCAGATGCAGAGGAGATTCCAAAACTCCAAATTCCCAGATTTTCAGATCCGGAGATGATTCCAAAACTCCAAATTCCCGAATTTCAGATCCTGATGGGTTTCTAYCCCAAATTCCCAGATTTTCAGATGCAGAGGAGATTCCAAAACTCCAAATTCCCAAATTTCAGATCCAGAGAAGATTCCAAAACTCCAAATTCCCGAATTTTCAGGTGCAAATGGGCTCCAAATTCCCAATTTTCCAGGTCCGGGTGCGTTTCCACAGCTCACAAGTCCCAGATTTTCAAATCCAGGTTTCCACAGCTCCAAATTCCAAAATTTTCAGGTCCAAATGGGCTCCAAATTCCCAAATTTTCATATCCAGACGCGTCTCCAGAACTCCAAATTCCCAAATTTTCACATCTGGGTTTCCACSGCTCCAAATTCCCGRATTTTCAGATCCRGAYGAATTTCCAAAGCCCAAAATTCCGGAATTCTCAGATCCAGACGGGCTCCAAATTCCCAGATTTGCAGATCAGGATGAGTTTCCAAAACCCCAAATTCCCAAATTTTCAGATCTGGGTTTCCACAGCTCCAAATTCCCAAATTTCCAGATCCGGACAAGTTTCCAAAACCCAAAATTCCCAAATTTTCGGATCCGGATTTATTCCTGTGGCTCCAAATTCCCAAATTTCCAGATCTGGATGAGTTTTCCAAAACCCCAAATTCCCAAATTCCCAGATCCAGATGAGTTTCCAAAACTCCAAATTCCCAAATTTCCAGATCCAGATGAGTTTCCAAAACCCAAAATTCCCAAATTTTCAGATCCGGATTTCCACGGCTCCAAATTCCCAAGAAATTCCAGGAATTTCAACCCAAGGACGATCCCAAATTCCATCGCCAGATCCCGGTCGGAATCGCATTCCCAAAAAAACCATCCCAAATTTTGGAAATCCCAAATTCCATCGTCAAAATCTGGGATTTTTCGGGATTTCCTGATCCTGGTCGGAATCCCATTCCCAAAAAACCATCCCTGATTCTGGAGATCCCAAATTCCTGGAATTTTTGACCANGGGAAGGTCTAACCTGAGTCGGAGTCGTCGCTGTCCGAGGAGCTCGAGTCGCTGCTCGACTCCGACTCCGACGATGAGAAACCCTTGAGCTTGGAGGAGCCCGCCAGGACATCCAGCTTTTCTGCAAGAAAAATAAGAAATTATCTCAAAATTATCCTAAAAATATCCTGAATCAATCATAAATCCATCACAAAAAAATCCATCCCAAATCCCCCCTTCAGCTTGGAGGAGCCCGCCAGGACATCCAGCTTTTCTGTGAAAAAATGGGAAAATTATCCTAAAATTATCCCAAAAATATCCCCAAATTATCCTAAATCAATTATAAATCCATCAGAAATCAATCGCAAAAAAATCCCAAATGATCCACCCCAAATCGCCCCTTGAGCTTGGAGGAGCCCGCCAGGACATCCAGCTTTTCTGGGGAAAAAATGGGAAAATTATCCTAAAATTATCCCAAATTATCCTAAATCAATTATAAATTCATCGTAAATCCATCACAAAAAAAATTTAAAAAAATCCACCCCAAATCGCCCCTTCAGTTTGGAGGAGCCCGCCAGGACATCGAGCTTTTCTGGGGAAAAAATGGGAAATTACCCCAAAATCCATCCCAAAATCGTCCCAAATTCATCCCAAAAACCCCATTTTTCCCCTGATTTCCCCCCAATACCTGGCGTTTTCCTCTTTTTCTGCAGGCAGGAGGTGACGTAAAAAACCCATTTTTTGTCCTAAAACCCCCATTTTTTTTCCTAAAACCCCCATTTTTTTTCCCTAAGACCCCCATTTTTCTCCTAAAACCCCATTTTTTTCCCCTAATTTCCCCCCACTACCTGGCGGTTTCCGTTTTTTCCGCAGACACGAGGTGACGCAAAAAACCCATTTTTTGTCCTAGAAACTCCTTTTTTTTTAAAAAAAAACCCGTTTTTTTTTTTCCCAAAGCCCCAATTTTCTCCCAAAACCCCATTTTTTCCCAAAATTCCCCTCAATACCTGGCGGTTTCCTCTTTTTCCACAGGCAGGAGGTGACGTAAAAACCCCATTTTTTCCCTAAAAACTCAATTTTTTGTCCTAGAAACCCCATTTTTTGTCCTAAATACCCCATTTTTTCCCAATTTTCTCCCAAATTTCCAGGGTTTTTTCCCTTTTAACCCCCACTACCTGGCGGTTTCCGTTTTTTCCGCAGACACGAGGTGATGCAAAAAACCCCATTTTTTTAGGGGAAAAAACCCTTAATTTTGTCAGAAAAACCCCATTTTTTTCCCAATTTTCCCCCAAAACTCAATCATTTTTCTTTAATCTTGTTCCCTACCTGGCGGTTTCCTCTTTTTCCGCAGACACGAGGTGACGTAGCGCTCGAGCTCGCGCAGCGTGGACGGTTTGAGCGTCTCGAAGTCGATCTCGATCTCGTCGGGGTTGGAGTTTTTCAGCGAGGGCTCCCGGGATTGGATGATGTGAACGACCCTCCCCAATTTCTCTCCCGGTAATTTATTGATGTCCAGACTCAGCTGTCGTTTCTCCTCGTACGACATCGGTTTGCATTTCTCTTCTTCTTCCGATTCGTACGACGGAGCCGATTTCAGCGGCTTGGAGACGGAGGAGGAGGAGGGCTCCTTCTTGGTGCTGGGGGAGAGAAAAATTGGTGAAAAATGGGTGAAATTTGGGGAAATTGGGGAAAAATGGGTGAAAAATGGGGAAATTGGTGAAAATTGGGTGAAAAATGGGTGAAATTTGGGGAAATTGGGGAAAATTGGGTGAAAAAGGGGTGAAAAATGGGTGAAAAGGGCTCTTTCTTGGTGCTGGGGGAGAAAATTGGGTGAAAATTGGGTGAAAATTGGGTGAAAAACGGGTGAAAATTGGGTGAAAAATGGGTGAAATTTGGGGAAATTGGTGAAAATTGGGTGAAAAATGGGTGAAATTTGGGGAAATTGGTGAAAATTGGGTGAAAAATGGGTGAAAATTGGGTGAAAAGGGCTCTTTCTTGGTGCTGGGGGAGAGAATTCAGGATTTGGGGTGAATTGGGGGAAATTGGGGAAAATTGGGTGAAAAATGGGTGAAAAGGGCTCTTTCTTGGTGCTGGGGGAGAAAATTGGGGAAATTGGTGTAAATTTGGGTTAAATTGGGGGAAATTTGGGTAAAACTGGGTGAAAAATGGGTGAAAAGGGCTCTTTCTTGGTGCTACGGGGAGAAAATTGGGGAAATTGGGTGAAAAATGGGTGAAAAATGGGTGGAAAATGGGTGGAAAATGGGTGAAAATTGGGTGAAAAATGGGTGAAAAATGGGTGAAAAGGGCTCTTTCTTGGTGCTATGGGGGAGAGAAAAATCGGGAAAAAATTGGGGTGAATTGGGGGAAATTTGGGTTAAATTATGGGGGAAATTGGGGAGAAATTGGGGAAAATTTGGGGAGAAATTGGAGGAAATTCAGGGGAAATTGGGGGGAAAGTGGAGAGAAAATGGGGTAAAGTGGGAGTAAAGTGGGAATAAAGTAGGGAGTAAAGTGGGAATAAAGTAGGGAGTAAAGTTGGAGTAAATTGGGAGTAAAGTGGGAGTAAATTGGGAATAAATTGGGAGTAAATTGGGAGTAAAGTGGGAGTAAAGTGGGAGTAAATTGGCAGTAAACTAGGGAGTAAAGTGGGAGTGAAGTAGGAGTAAATTGGGAGTAAAGTAGGGAGTAAATTGGTAATAAAGTGGAAGTAAAGTGGGAGTAAATTGGGGAGTAAAGTGTGAGTAAAGTAGGGCGTAAACTGCGAGTAAAGTAGGGAGTAAATTGGGAGTAAAGTGGGAGTAAACTAGGAGTAAAGTAGGAGTAAAGGGGGAGTAAAGTAGGAGCAAAGGGGGAGTAAAGTAGAGAGTAAATTGGGAGTAAAGTAGGAGTAAATTGGGAGTGAAGTAGGAGTAAAGGGGGAGTAAAGGAGGGAGTTAATTGGGAGTAAAGTTGGAGTAAATAGGGCGTAAAGTGGGAGTAAAGTAGGGAGTAAATTGGGAGTAAAGTAGGGCGCAAAGTGGGAGTAAAGTGGGAGTAAAGTGGGAGTAAAGTGGGAGTGAAGTAGGGAGTAAATTTGGAGTAAATTGGGAGTAAAGTAGGGCGTAAAGTGGGAGTAAAGTGGGGAGAAATTGGGGAGAAATTGGGAGAATTGGGGTTAATTTAGGGAGATATTTGGGTTAAATTAGGGAGAAATTTGGTGTAAAATGGGTGTAAATTGAGGGAAAATTGGTGTAAAATGGAGTGAAATTCGGGAATTTGAGGAAGATTTGGGGGGAAATTGGGAGTAAAGTGGGAGTAAAGTAGGGAGTAAATTGGGAGTAAAGTAGGGCATAAAGTGGGAGTAAAGCAGGAGTAAAGTGGGAGTAAGTTGGGAGTAAAGTGGGAGTAAAGCGGGAGTAAATTGGGAGTAATGTAGGAGTAAAGTAGGGAGTAAAGTGGGAGTAAACTAGCGAGTAAATTGGGAGTAAAGTAGGGAGTAAATTGGGAGTGAAGTGGGAGTAAAGTGCAAGTAAATTAGGAGTAAAGTGGGAGTAAAGTACAGAGTAAAGTAGGGAGTAAATTAGGAGTAAATTGGGAGTAAATTGGCAGTAAAGTAGGAGTAAAGTAGGGAGCAACGTTGGAGTAAAATAGGGAGTAAAGGAGGAGTAAAATGGGAGTAAAGTGGGAGCAAATTGGGAGTAAAGTAGGGAGTAAAGTGGGAGTAAAGTCAGGAGAAATTTGGATTAATTTAGGGAGATATTTGAGTTAAATTGGGGGGAAATTTGGTGTAAAATGGGAGTAAATTGGGAGTAAATTGGTGTTAAATGGAGTGAAATTGGGGCGAAATTTGAGAAAAAAATTGGGGGAAATTGGGAGTAAAGTGAGAGTAAAGTAGGGAGTAATTTGGGTTAAACTGGGGAGAAATTGGGGGGAAATTGGGGAAAATCGGGGGGAAATTTGGTTAAATTGGGTGAAAAATGGGTGTGAATTGTGAGTAAATTGGGAGAAACTGGGGAGAAAATTGGGAAATTTGGTCCAAATTCGGGGTTAATTGGGTGCAAACTGGGTTTAAACTGGGCCTAAAACTGGTCTAAAGCCAGCCTAGAACCAGTCAGAAGGTGACCTAAACAGGCCCTGAAATGACCCTAAATGTGATCTTAACTGACC